TCAAAGACTTAGAATGTCACTGAAGGAAGTGCCAGCCGGATCAGCCACTCAACTCCCCCAGTTGACAGAGGAGGAAAGTAAAGCCAGAGATGGAAGAAATTCATCTAAAGTCACCTGGAAAGGAGGCAGAGGAGCCGGGGCTTAACCCTGGGTCTTCTGGTTCTCTCTTGCCTCCCACCAAATCCCAGGAGAAATCTTGAAGGCTATTCCTGAACTTAATGACAGCAGGGAGCCAAACTCCGTATGAAGGATCCAGGGATCTAGATGGGAGACGTGGTTGGCCCCAGAACCCCAGAGCCGGGAGTGCAGGGGAAAAGGGGGCCAAGTGAACGGAACCGCCAGAAACCTTGAGGTAGACGCTGCCTCTCAAGGACCTTAAGCTTAAGGGATGCAGAGCCCTGGTGGAAGGCACAAAGCATCTCTCACCGGCAAAACAGTTAGTCACCGGTCTTTGAGCAGCTCTCTGGAGGAGTAGACTCACTTCTCCCAGCCCAGCCATTTCCAGGAAACACTTGGGCACCAAGCTAGAAGCAATGAAAAGGCACACTAACCATTCAAAGTCTGCACATGTTGCTGGGACTGCTCGCTCCACAACTGGGGTGGACAGCAGGGGCTCCAGGGCAGGAGCTCTGCCTGCACTACTCCCCGAACACAGCCCAGCCCGGAGCGTCCAGCAGAGCGCCCTGTCCCCCTGGCCACTTGTCATAATCCCCTGCCCTGCTTGGATTTAGACACCTGCTCCCCAGTGTCTTAAGACATCCTCCGCCTCCAGACTGCCAGGCTGCTGGGAGCTGGATTTGAATCTGACTGAGGCAACAGCCTCCCTCCCTCTGCAGCTGGCCGTATCTCAAGAGTCCCAAAGCCCATGGAGGCCTTCTAGGGAAACTGGTGACATCCATGGGCAGGTTGCTAGGCCCCATGACCCCTGTCCATAGGACCCCTGCCCATACTCCAAGCACGGTCTGAGCCCACTCACATCAAAATCATCTGAGATGTGTTAAAAATGCTGGTTCCTGGGCTGCCCTACGGAATCCGAACCTTGGGGTGGGGGGGTAAGGCTTGGGAATCCGCATTTTAATAGCTCCCCTTGGTAATTCTGTGGCAACTGAAAGTTTGAGAACTACTTTCTCACAGTGTCCCCCGCTGGCGGCATTTCTGCTGCCAACCTGACAGCTGTTACAGCTGTGTGCGTGGACACGGTTAATCTGATTTCCTGTCTGGCAGCTGTGCAGCAGGGAAGGGACAGCTGAGGGTCTCAAAAACAAGAAGAGGGGATGGGGTAGGGGGGGATGGGGGCAGGGGAGGCTGTCTGAATGGGACAGGGTGTTCAACTTTGTTCCTGAGCCCGCTTCTCCCCCCTTGGGCCGAAATCCCTACAGGGAGGGAAAGCGCTGATCCAGCGGCCCCCAGTATTTGTAGAAAACAGTCTCCTCCCAGAAACCCCAGGAGCCCCCCCAAGACCAGAATGGTCTCTCTTGTCGAGGGGCACAAACTTTGGAAGCAACAAAGGCAGACCCGCCACATAAGGTTGTGCAGGCTGTGTACTGCACAAGGGCACCCAACTGAAGGGGCAAGTTGGGGGCTGAAGTCTAGCCCATGCTCCCAGTGCTAAGCCATGCACTCTGGCTTGAGGATACAGCCACCTGGAAGAAGGGCCGCCTTTAAAACATTTGTACGGGGAAGCTCTTGTATGGGTTAGACGCCGCCCTACACAAAGCCCCGAGTCTGAAGCCCAGCCGTCATTTACTCTGTGACCTTGCGCAAGTTCCTTAACTTCTCAGATCCTTCTCAATTGTAAAACATAGCTATTAATACCTTTCCAAGGGAGATAAGGTAAGGAAAGCACCCTAATACCCATCATTTAGTAGATTATAATATTAATTCCCCTCCCACCCCAGTCTCGCACTTCCGACCTACCCACACCCCTATGCCTACACACCCGCCTACCTAGCCAAGCTTGGAATGGTATGAAGAACGTGAATAAGAATATCCAGGGGAAACCCCAATACCAAAACCAAACCCCATGGCACTTCCCAACATCCATAGCATCCCTTCCTGGCATAAGTGGGATGCACACCGTCCCTCACTGGCGGAAGAAGGCTCCTCCTCCATATGCCTGCTTGTAACATCCTACACGTTGCCCAAGCAGCAGCACGCTGCCCAGTTCAGGCCGGAGGGAAATCCAAGGCCCAACAGAAGGGAGGCAGGGGATCCCCCAGCACTGCATCCTTGGGAAACCCTCACCAGAGTTCAAGCTCCTGGGCTCCCCGAGCCGGGACCGAGCTTGTATCAGAGGGGTGTCCACTGTGTGCTGGGCTGTTGCGGGAGGAGCCAGGCAGAGACCCCATCTATCAAGGAAGACCTGACAGCACTAGCAGAAGCTGTGTTTTGTCCCCGTCCTCAAGCAGGAACAGAGGAGAGCACCCCACATCCTTCGTGGGCTCGCCTGCCAAGACTGCTCACCCACCAGGGCAACTTACCATATCTGTCTATTCACCTAGAGGGCCAAGCCCCAGAATAGAGCCCAGGAATCCTGCTGTGAACCCTGGATGCCAGTCCCCTCAAGCAACATTCATTCATCCACGTGCCAGGCACTGTGCTAAGTGCGCACAAGACAGTCCCGAGAGCCAAGGATGCCCCTAAAATAGGGCTCCAAAGACTTACTGCTGGAGTGGACAGAGAGTTCACGGCAGACACCCACCGTGGAAAGCCCCTTTTCCTCAAGCCCTCGGGCTGGGGAGGCCTGGCAACACACACTGCCCAAGAAGCGTCCCTGGACACCTGCTTTTTTAGCCACAGGCTTTTGCATCCTGTCTGGAGACTGATCAAGAGATGGAGAGAGGAGGTGGCGGGGGAGGGT